AAGAAAATATAAGGGGGGGGGGGGGGGGGGGGGGGGGGGGGGGGGGGGGAATCATTTAGAATCATTTATAAACAGATAATGGACGACAGACAATTACAAATGCTACAACAGTTGCTTAAATTGAAACGATGTTCCAGCAAAAAGGTGTGAAAGATAGATAAATGTACACATTTGTCGAAGCTTATAACTGCTTACAAGCCATGGGTTCAAAGGATGTATGGTTAAAAGTAAGTAAAAGTAGTGGGTCCTATAGAATGTGAATAAAAATAAAGTTTGACCAGCTTATAAACTATTATAAGTTTTGACAAACATGCACTAAACCGACTCGGTAGCATCTTTTCAAAAGCTCAAAAAGCTTTGTAAATTAGCTGAGGACTTGATTGGCACTTAGGCAGAGATAAAAACCAAAACAGAGTCGGGGATAAAGCTTAAGTTAACAATTCATACGTCTACATTCACCTTCCAAAAACTTATGGGTGCTCCCTAAGTCAACTGATGTCTTCTGAGAAGCAGATTATCAATCTATGCTCAACATTTCATTAAAGCGTTAGCCAAACCGGGAATTTCAGAGAAATAATAAGAAGGCAGGAGACAACACATTTCATGCTCTTACCTCATTAAACAAGTAAAATTCGAAACTATGTTGAAGAAGTTGAGACAAACAAGAATGTTAAGTCCGCAAGCCTTGTGTTACATAAGGGGAAAGGGAGACATCCAGCATTTATAAGATAACAAGAAAAACCAGCCAGACATTGGTTTAAATAAACTATTTACCCCTATCAAAGCTTTGAGTACCAAAAAGACTATGTTTAAAGAGATGGATCCAAATGTTTTGCCAAGTCTCATTCGTATCAGCCAGCAATGAAAGCATACTAGGATCTACTACCCATATATAGCGTAAATCAGAACCTTTTAAGGGACCACAATAACTTACAGATACTGATGCAAATGCAGAAGGATGTGTCACAAGAGAACAGCCACAGATAAGACTCAACTCCTCCTTTATAGAATGGGTAAATTCCACCCTTGTCCCAGGGTCGCTGCCGCCAAATGTAGGGCACAAACTAATAACAATGTGAGAATACACAAGGTCAGTAAAAATATTTTACTAGGCATATCGTTCCCATACCACATTAAAGGTGTAGGAACTAGGAACCAAATTAACTTGAGGAGTAGAAAGATGTTGCTTCTATTGGTAGGCCTAACCAACCCCAGCTCCACAATTAAAAAACAAAGAGCAAAGAAATGGATCGTATAGAATGGATGAAGTGAAGTTAGTGAGCTGTATGATGGGAAACTATCTCCTGTGGTTCCAAGACATAACAGAACTACTATATTACCATGCAATATTAGCGCAGCAAATCTCAAATAAAGAAATAAAATAGTATCACCTGAACTGGATGGTTGGCCTCTCCAAGAGACCAGATCTCTTCCAAGCTAAAGCCTGCTCCAGGCCCAAAGTAAACGATTTATCGGGCCACTGCAATGTTGGTGTTATGCGCATGCCCCACTTATTCTGTACACAACACAGAAGATACCTAAAGAACATCAGTTATAAAAATCCTAGCTAGATAAAATAAGGTCAAATGTAAGGATTTTTTCCATGAGGCTTTCCAATCTCAACAGCTCACCTTGCAAGAGAAGCTGAATTTCATCTCTCCTGGATATTGACCCTGTGCTTGAAGCAGACCCCCACAAAGGGGTAGAAACGTACTGGTGGACAGGCCCTCACCAGATACATAGGTTACCTGGCCATTTGGAAACTGCAAGTCCATGAAAGACTGCATAGATAGAAGAAGGAAAAATGTTTCAAAAGCCAGTCCAACTTACTGAAGATTTAGATAGCAGCAATATGGTACACCAGCAGTGTATCTAACATCATCATAAAGACTAGAGAGAGAAGCAAAATACGCCTACGATAACAAAATTATGAATTCGGTACATATGCAGCATTTAATAGTTATTTTTCTGTTCATCAACCAGCCCACTTTATTTGTGGCTTCTCTTTTTATTTGTATACACGGTTGAAGACACAGCTTGGACAATACTTTTTTACAAGGCAAGACATTTCCTACATTTCTCCTTTTCATTTCATTGTTTTATATCCATAGGAACATTGACAGAATATAAACATTTTCCCTCATATAGGGAAATACCATTGTCCCTCTCAAGCTCCATCACTTTAGTATGCCTTTTATTTGTTTTGTTGACGGACGAGCAGATACATGAGAGAAATTTATTATATAATTGCAGTTAACAGTATTGTATAATTTTGCAGGTGGCATGCTAATATATTTTCACTCAGAAATGTGTAAAAGTAATACACAATTTTTCACGCAGTAGTAAAATCACCCAGACCATACAAAGTTCTATTTTAACATCAAGCAGATCATGTAACTGATGGAGTCAAACTTACACAGGCCAACGGATTGAGGCAGATCATAGACATTAACAGCCACCTTCTATGCTTTGACCACACAGCTGGACAAAGGGAATGCAATGCATTCTGTTCACATAGTAAATAAATGATAAATTTCATTTCAGAGAAAATAGGACATGAGAGAAGAACTTGGTGAGTACTAATGCGAATGGAAAATTCAAACACTTCATTAAAGGGTAACAGGAATTAGATTACAGTTAGCAACTTTTTAATAACACTTACAGGATAAAATAATAAGCTCGATCTGATCATGACAGAGAGCATCCCAGTAAAAGAGTGGTCAGAACTGCCATTAGCATTTTCCTATTGGAACCAGCTTCTTTTAATGCAAAGATGTAGCATTTTAATTTCTTAAATCCACTGAGGAGCATAAATGGACGTAGGAACTAGCATTCGAAAGTACATGTAGTGGGTAGTCCTGGTGTTTATTAGAAATGAATTATGAAAGAAGAATCCCGCATCATCGGATTCCACTATGTATATTTATGGACAACAGATTTCCAATATCAGTTTCCAAAGATATGCAAAAACAGTTTTAAATACAACACAATGCAGATGTTCATTTTTGTGTTCAAAATCTTAAATTTATAGCAGAGAGCATCTTCAGCTTGACTAGCATAAAATATCAGACAATCATAATTTTAACAGCTTTCTTCGGCCAACAAACAAGGACTTTCCAGTTTTTTATTTTAGTCAAAACCTAGCTATCGATCGCTTTTGCATTGAGCTGTAAGTTTGTCATACCTTCCTATCGTAGCCATACCAAAGCAGGTGCTGCTTTGACAAGTGAACAGGCAAAAGGAGAGTTGAATCACGAACAAGAAGTATTGGTCCGAGCTGGATAAGGAACAATGATGAATTTTCATTTCCTGATGTTGAACTTCCTTGTGAGGCCTCTACTCTCCATAAATCTCCCTTAGCAACCAATGAACCTTCAACATTCCTCGTTCCACTGTCATAGGTCGAGGTGAAATTGATTATACCCTGATACAGTGAAACTCAATGATTAGAGCAGGGAAAGAATGAACTTAGAAAAATAAAACTTCATAACAAAAATAAATTATAACGTGAATACATGCTTTTAACGCAAAATTCAATGTCCCAGCAAGCTTCTAATCATCATGTAACGACCATCACAACCATTATATAACATCAATCATATATACTTATTTATTGGAGGATGTTTGAAAGGATAATTATTTAATATCTTTGCATCACTTGGTTGATGGATCATAAAGTAACAAATCACTTAACCTAACTACCTGAGAAGTTATTACTGCAGAAATCTGTAGTTTCTTTATTCATACAGTCTTGTAAACGAGGATTAGATAACATTGACACCGCTTGTTCAATAGTCTCAGAAAATTACCTGTGATCGACCAAAATTTTTCAATGCCTTCAAGTTAACACCAAAAATCTCCTCCTCAGTCACCCCCTCCGGGACCTTGTCATTTTCAGGGAACCCATAATCCCTAAACCCTTCTGCCAATGATCCCAAATCCTCCTGCAGATGATTAATACTCAAATCAATCCCCTTCCGGCAATTACTCTCTGTTCGCAATGACAACCCCGCGTTCTCATCATGCCAGAATGGCACAGGCAATCGTCTGAAAAACTGCTGAACCACACCATTCAAACACGCCCCAAAATCAGCCCCCGCTTGTCCTATTCTGCTCCCGATATCAAAAATAGCCGACACGCCATTAATCCCAGAATTATCCACAACCAATCCAAAGTCTTTTTTCATGAAATTCTGAGCTGCAAACTCGACTTCAAATAGGTTGGGCGTTGGAGGATTGGGCCATTGGAAATCAGCTGGACTAATATGAGACTGAATTAAACCCGTAAAGCCCTGCGCAAGCCTGTCGGCTAAGTCTTGGCCGTGCCTCTGCACCTCCTCCCATGCTTCGAATGATCTCTCCACGGACATCATCCGTGCGAACTTCCACTTTCAAATTTCTCTCTGTTCACAAGTCAATTAAAACTATATATACAAATTTCTGTAAAAACGCCAACCCAAAATGCCCAAAAGCTCCAAATCACAAGATCGGAAACCCAAAAATATGTACTTATTAGTTCAATATACTTACATACACCAGGTTTTCTCCGCTATAAGAAAAATGATTCTTCAACCAGTACAGACCTCACATTGAAAACAAATAAAATAAAATTCCGATGATTGCCCAAGAAATTGTGAATCTTGTCTAGATTAAAATTATGGCAATAACAGTAAATTAGAAATTCCAGTCAATCGAACCCAAAATATAAGGAAAAAACAGAACTGGTCAAAGTTTTAACACAACTGATCTTTTCAGTGCGTGCATGTTAGAAAGAGAGAGGATATGCTCGTTCCTATATCCAAAGGGAGGAGTACAGGGGATGCGTAGTACCCAGATCGTTACTTCAAAGCCACGTTTATTGTAATCGTAATCCTTTATGGCTATGGCCTATCAGAATAATTCCATTTCCCAAAGATGTTATTTTCAGGGAAAATTGCAAATTAGTCCTCCATTTAATCTCTCAGTAGAAAATTCATCCCTAATCTTTATAAAGAACAAATTGGCTAACCCTCCTTGTCCCGCCTCATCGAGAATTTTTAGGATTTTTCTAAAGTACAATTCAAATTTGAAGTCGAGGAGGGACCATACTCTGCCCTTCTCGCTTCTTCAGCAAAGCAGGACGGGAAAGTTGCAAAAAAATTTGACATATCTACTCCTTAGACTAATTGTGCAGTATTGAAAACTAATTTTCTATTTAAAGTAATAACTATTGGATAATTGTGCAATTTTCTCGTATTAAGCCCCCATTTGGTCCCTATTTTTTGGAAATAAAAATTGGTGGATTAGTGTTTTTTTTTTAAATGGGTTGTTAAAAAAAAAAAAAAAATTTCGATTTATGTGTATTACTATTTTATGAAATGTTATATAGTTGAAAATATGAAAGAGAAAAATAAAATGTAATAAAATTTAATAGAATGAGATTCAATCGGAACTAAAATCACATTTAATATAAGTAGAAACTTTAATAGGAACAAAGCGTCCTGGAATAGGCCGACACGTGTGGGGCCCACATATCATGCCACTTGTGTACATTAAAAATAGTAATAATATAAGAATTTTTATGTGGACCATTTTTTAATTGAATTGATAGTTATAGCACCTATATAGTAGTGTTTGGTTAAGCTTATCCGAATGTGTGTGGGCTTATAAGTATTGGAGTTCAATAATTTTTTAACTCAAAAATCAAAATAGATAAATTATAAATTTACGAAATAATTGTGATTTCTATTCTTTCAGTGTCCTGTAGAGAAAATTTCCTGTAATGAAAAGTGTAGCTGAGTTGCAAAAGAATATGCTAAATTTAAATTAAATAAATGCATCTCAAAGGGTCAAAAGGCCTGCATCATTTTCACACCCAGTTTGATTGTTGAACATCAAAACAAGATATATACATATATACTCTTCCTCATTGATTCCAGGCTTTAAAGTAATCTCTTAAACAACAGAACCCTACAATATATAACCTTCTGGAGCTGCACAAATGAATTTCACACAGGGGCTCACTGTGAAACACGATAACAATCAAGGGCCTTAGCCAAAAAAAGGAACCGGAAGGAAGAAAAAACATAAAAATGCTACTAGTGGAAACGATGAAATGATAACTAGTTTTGCTTCGTTATCCTCTTGTCCCTTATTGGCAACTCAACGGGTTTCTGTGCCTCGTGGGGATGGGATGGACCAGTGTACACCTTAAGGTGGTTGAATAAAGCTCTGCCAAGCTGCACAAGCACCAGAAGAAACATTTATTAAAATTAGTCCAGGCAACAAGAAAGATATAGGAGGTTAATTTACCTGGCTATTTCGCAACAATAAGTATCCTAGTATGTAAGATATATGTCTATAGCTAATACGGGTTTCTGTGCCTCGTGGGGATGGGATGGACCAGTGTACACCTTGAGGTGGTTGAATAAAGCTCTGCCAAGCTGCACAAGCACCAGAAGAAACATTTATTAAAATTAGTCCAGGCACAAGAAAGATATAGGAGGTTAATTTACCTGGCTATTTCGCAACAATAAGTATCCTAGTATGTAAGATATATGTCTATAGCTAATATCAATAAGTAGGGAGGTGTTTAAAATTTTGATTAGGCTGGTGAAACAAATGAAGTTTAGATTATGTTTGGTAGTGCTTATAAGACATGGATCCTACAAAATTTGTAGATAGTAAGAGGGTTAGTTGTGGGTCTTAAAAATGCGTACGTAGAAATTATATTTGACCAGCTTAAATTATAATTTGTGCTTTGCCAGACATGCACTTGGTCCGTTTGATCAGAAGAGGTGCCCAATTCGCACATTAAGATTATTTTTTTCAACAAGCCAATTGTTTTCCCCTTACGATAGTGTAATGTTAATGACTGCAGTGTTTTTCTGAAACCAGCTTATGACCTTCCTATTAATTGTTAGCTAAGGAGTGTTTATATACATGGGAAAAGCACTTCGGGATGACAAAACGCAAGATGAAAGAAAAATATAACTCTATCCTGACATTTAACTCTCTGATGCATAAATGCCTTTGCCCTCAACAAGCAATTCAGGAACCCATCCACCATCACTGCCTTGAGAAACAACCGCTTCCAACACAACAACGATCAACAAAAAATTTCTTTTCATATAATTTATTTCTTCTGCTTCAGCTCTGAGTTTGCTTGTTTACAATTAATTAGTCCTCCTTTTTAGCTTAAACGTATTAGCTGCATAATGTATTGCTTTATTTGCAATTGCAGTGGGGCATGAGATCTTTCGTTATTCTCTTCTAGTGTTGGTTCCAAGGGAAGAATGTGGTAGGTGGGAAGGTGGGTTGCCTAGAAATTTTTAGGGAAAAAAAATAAAAAAAGGTGGAAAACCATGGAAAATCCATCACGTGAGAGGGGGGAGGGGGGGACAAGTTGCATGGAAAATTTTTGCTATCAAACACTCCCAAAAGCTGGAAAATTACTTCTATCAAACAGAGGCTTAGATTTTTAGCCTCACCAATTATCAAAGAGACGCAAATTTAGATTCAGTGATTGAATTCAGACATTGCAAACTAAATTTGCAATTCTCATAAACTAGACACTCAGCACATTTATTCCAGCCCAGCTTGATATAGATATGCATAAAAGATACTGTAGCACTGATGACGTACAGAAATTTATATAAACAGCAGGAAGACTACATAAGAAACAATGATATTTTTATAATTCTCTTCTTAATAAACTACCCAACAAATTCTAGTTAGCTAGGCTTAATGAGAGAGAGAGAGACTTACCCTCCCTTTCGGAAGCATTCCTCGGACAGCATGCTCAATAATTCTTTCAGGTATTCTTTTCTGAAGCTGATCAAATGTTTCAACTTTCATCCCACCCGGTCTCCCTGAGTGCCTCCTATATAGTTTCTGAGTCCTCTTTTTCCCAGACACAGCAACTTTCTCGGCATTAACCTTTGGTGCAGTAATTGAATGATTAAGCATTGAATATAAAATATGAAGAAACAAATTATTTTGCCCTTATAATAGTTTAAGCTTTTGAATGAGGTGGTTTATAATAATAGGTTCAAGTCTCACAACCACCCGTTTATTAAAATTCCATGCATTAGGTGTTTGATTAGAAAAAGAAAATGATGTGTATTACATGATGACATACCACTATGACAAAGGCCCCCATGTCTACACTAGGAGTGAAGGTAGCAAGATTTTTCCCTCTAATATAAATAGCAATTGTTGATGCCAATCTCCCAAGAATCTTGTCAGATGCATCTACCACATACCATGGTTTGTCTGTATTAACATGATCTGCAGCTTTGGGATACCATGTTTTATTCCAAACATCCTGAAATAAGAAAACAACTACAGATGAGTTTCAATGTCTTAACTCCATTAGATTCTAAAAAGAAACATACGTGCATATGTTCACGAGCTTCACAAAATTTCAAGGAAAAGAAACAGTGGCATGTGCAAAAAAAAACTACAGGTTGAATCTCAAAGCCTGAGAAAAAAATGGATAAAATCCAGTTAATACATGAGATACCTGTCAAAAAGCATATTTGGTGAAAGATTATTAACCGTAGGACAATATGGTATAGACATAGTGAATTATAGGGAAAAATAATGCATATTTCAGCCAAGATTCGGCTGATAAATGTTCTGTACCAAACATTTACATCCTACACTGGAAAATGCACTTGACGGCGTTGTTTGCCTTCACCCTAAAGCAGAGCAAACACTTCAGCCCAATATGTTGGACATAAATGTAAAGGAAGTCAAATTCCTTGTAATTATTGCCAAACACATCATATAAAGTACTTACCACCTAATTTTCGCTCACCAACAGTGAAGGCTTTTTGTCGTCAGTTTCTATAACTTTATAGTTTTAGTTTTTATCTGCAACTCTTACAATATATTTAGCTCACAAAGCTAAGTATTAAACAGAACTGGGACACAGAGAAAAGGGATGGGAGACTCCTTTTCATTCAAAATAAACTATATATCCTTAAAAGTTCTGGTTTTCTACTCCAGATGGCTTCAGACAGGCAAGCCCATCATCTATCAATAGAACATTAGGGGTAGATGTTTCATTTTGTTGTTCCATTTATGGCCTTAAAACTCCTTGTCCTGATTTTGTATTCCTCTTTGCTTCATTGTAAATTTTGGTTTCTTGTCATGTTGGGATGGGGTGGCAGTAATTGGATACTGCTCCCGAACCCGAGCCTGCAGTTGCTACGCCAAGTACGTTGTCAAGATGACTGAGATGAAGGTCAACACTTAAATTGGACTGAGTTTTCATAGAATTTTACACAGGTTTTTAACTGCACATATGTATGAAAATTGATCGAAAGACATAAAGATGCACCAAATCTTTTATAATTTCATGAAAAGAAAACAAAATTATAACTAATACTTAGACTCGCCAATTCCAACCCACTATGTGAACTGGCAGTTATTAAAAGGATGTTAGACAAGAAGTGAAACTTGCCAAATTCCTCCCTCAGTTGACTCCCAACACTTTGAATACCATAAAAAGGTTTCTTTTGCCATATTTAACAAGATCTCTTTAGCCGTTTTTGCATGACATGGGAAAATATTTTATCTCATTTGCTGCAAACATGATGTCAAGTTGTCAACCCCCTTTCATAATATCCATGTCTAGGATGTCAAGCAGACCAGTTCTCTCACTCTACATATTCCAAACTAAACCAATTCAGATAATGAACATTTCAGCAGTTCCACCACGCAGGAACTTCCCAATTGACGCTTCTTCTTTTTTATCCATCTACTTTATATCAGAAAACTGCTAAGCTCCCTGCAAGTTTGCAACTTCCAATAACAATCATCTCTAGTGTTTATATAATAAAAACAAGTTCACAATCTACCCATGCAGGATACTCAACAATCTCAATGCATGAATTAATTTCAGCAATCAGCTAAAAGAAAATGTAGTACATAGTCAATAAAAATGAAAGCAAAATACAAACCAATTGGGGATTTTTTTTTTCATACCGGGCCATTGAATCCGGTATCTTCAAACATCCAGCGCTGGTCGACTGGGACCGAGACAGTTTTATCTTGGCAGGAAATTTTGGTAGTTCTATTGGCTTTAAGGACGGAACTGGACGGCTTGGATGCAGCGACAAGCGAGAATCCGAGAAATGGGGTTTTCTTCAAAGAAGAGGAAAAGGGTTTCTGAGAGGATTCAGTTAGCAATAGTGAAGATGAAGCGGCGCATTGTACCGACATAGCCATTGATAAGCGTCTCTTTTGCTCCTCTATGTTCCCCTCCAATTGAGAAACGGAAGCAGGCAATGAGCAAAGTGGGATAAAATAGGAGCAGACACAGGATAAGGTGCATATATGGCTATGCTTGAAATTTTTTACTTATTGGATTATAAGTGACCACTACCATAAAACTTCTCAGTCTGGTTCTAGTATCAAAATAGGTGATTTAATTTTAATTTCAAGTTGAAATATACAATATTTAATGATATCTGAAAATAAATGATAATCACACGTGAAAAAAAAAATTGTCACAGTTGAAAGTATATTGCACATTATTATGAAATATTATATATAAGTGTTGTAAAAATAATATTTGATATCAATTTATTGGGAGAATTTTCAAACGAACTCAATAAAATAAAATTTAGGATAGAAATTTAAGATAATAAAATTATACTCTCGAAACTCAACTTCTATTATTCAAATTTTTGTAATGATGAATACTACAAATGAACAATATTTTTATGCTACATTTGATATTATAAGAATTAATTGCTAATACATGAATTTAAATACTCATTAAAATTTCTAGACATGTAACTATAAATAAATTCATTTATAATAATTCTAGATTTATGTAAATCAAGATTCGTTGAGTCTAGATTAATATGAATATTAATTAATTGAAATTAATTATACGAAATTCATGCATGACAAGGATTTTATAATATGAAAATAAGGTATTATTAAAATGCTGATAGGTCAAAATCGTAAAAAAATAAAAATGAAAAATGAACAAGAAGAACACACTCACTTGACAGTGATATTTAATATATTATAGATTATTATTTTTATGAACAAAAAAAATGAAATCTTCATTATGAAAAATCAGCTTAAACCGCTAGTGAGATGAAGAAAGAAATACAATCGCCCCGGGGCATAGTTTAGTGGTGTAAAGGACAGGAGTGAAGTTATCTCACGCCTTGCTGGCAATCGCAGTGTGGGGGTTCAATTCATGAGATATGGAATTGGACTCCTTGTAGGCGCAGTGTATAAACAACTCTTGTTCCCTGGTCTGTTGGGGCAAATCCCGTGATTTACCTCCCTCACAAAACTCTAGGGATGGAGTGATGAAAGCCTTCAAGGTTGGGTTCAACCTTTTTAAAGAAATACAATCGTCCCAATTGCAATCGATTTGAGAACTCGTATCGAAATAAGCAATCACAGATGTTATTCTATTCTATCTCCAATTATAAAATAGTCCAACCCACGTAACACACCTCCCTAAGTAAAGCTACAATATCATAAATTAATCGAGCGTTTAGAGCGATAAGTCATCGCATTCAACCACACGAATCCATATCATCCCTACTCTCATTGGCAAAATTGAGTGGGTGAAATTCTGAAAGATTTTGCATTCACCGAGAATAATGTCTAGAAATATGATACTACTATACCAACTTTGGGCCCTTTTGTATCCATATTTTTAAAATGTATTTTTTATTTTTTTTTCAACCACACATTCTTTATTAAAATAATATTATACGTGAATAAAAAAAATTTCATATTTTTTAACCACACATTTTTCATCAATTTACTATTCTAAAATGCATTTTTTCAAGAACATGGGTATCAAACACCCTCTTTATCTTGAAATATAAACCTCGATCATTTCGCATAGCCACGTAAGAATTTAGCCAAAATCATTCTTTAGCTAGCGCAATTTGTTGTACCTCGCCCCAGTTGAATCATGGACAAAAAATTGAACAGAGCCATTTGTACACTCTTTTTATACATCATTGTTCACATCATTCGAGTTGACAAACGTGTGATTGATGGAAATTTTAATTTTTTTGAAAAAAACTATCAAATCAGAGCTTGACACATGACGAAGTGTACACTATGATGTACATGAGACATTGTTGCAAAAAATTCCACCACCCCTTTCAACTAAACAATGGATACCTTGAAGAAAGGATGCCGCCTAGTTGATGATATATTTTGGTGGCTTTGTTGAAACTTGTATACAAATAGCATTTCCCTTTACTTTTAACATCGAGAGAAAATTTCCAATTTGAAACTTTAAAAATTTTAACATTTTTCGGTATGTAAGTACAATTCTTGAATTTTTGAATTTTGAAGTGACTTTTTTCCCCTCATGAAAGAATCAAATTAGTAAATGTTATTTTATAAAAATATTATTCATATTTAAGGCATAAAACCAACTTATAGTTAGAATTTTACAAAATTTTCTGAACTTCTACTAAATATTTTATTTAATTTATTCTTTTTTTAATGGTTTCACGTTTCGTCGAATGTTTGGGACATAAATATCTTAATTATGATTAAACTTTCACAAATATTTTATAGTTGCTATTAAATTTTAAAATTTCTAAACTCACAATTTGAACTGTCCCAAATATTTTGGGGTTTTAGTAGAATGATAAATTATATTCGAATAATCATTACCTTATCAAAATATCATTCCATTGATTTCTTTGTCTATTGATCATCGAACTTTAAATTTAATTACTTATTTAAGACGATACTTACTTATTTTTCTAAAAAAAATATATGATTATGATAATGTTATTTATACATAAGTAGTTATATAATGATTTACGCAAATAAAATGTGAAAAATAGTATTGATTTTTTATTTATTTAATTTAAGAAATTATGACTCAATAATATCTCATCATAATCATGCGTGTGTGTATATATATATATATATATATCACAGTATAACTTATTATTTTACCAACCAATTTGCCTTCTAAAAGAGAGGTATCTTCCTCACCACAGCGAAGTCCTACTGAACATTTAAAAATGGCAACTTTTCAGTCAACTTCAATCTCTCTTTCTCCAAAGCTCTCACATTTTATTCCCAAATTCCAAAACCCCATTTCAAAATCCCTCATTTTCCCCTCAATTTCAAACCCTAAACCAGAACCTTCCCTCAAATTCAAGAATAAAATGTCAATTAGAACTCAAACTCAAGCGATGGGCACTGATCTTGATCCAAGCCTGATGCAACAGGCCATCCAGCTGGTCCAGTCATCGCCGCCCACGTGGCAATCTGCCATCTTCAGCAATCTTGTGATCTTTCTTCTGGGCTCTCCTCTTCTGGTATCTGGATTGTCTCTTCCTGGCATTGGGGCTGCTTTCTTGCTTGGCGCTCTCACTTGGCGGGCTTTTGGCCCTTCTGGGTTCCTTCTTGTGGCTACCTACTTTGTCATTGTAAGCTGAATTTTTCTTGATCTATTTTTTTTTTTTATTAATTTTGATAATGGTTATTGGAATTTGGGAGTGTTTAAATTGTTTTTGATTGAACGCACTTGTATGATTAGTGTTGTACAGTACTGTAAGATCATAATGTTGAGTGAACTGATCTTTGGAAAGCAAAGAAATATTTTGAATTTGTTTCTTTTTGTTGTTGGTTTCCATGTTTTGGTTTTGGTGGATGTTTAAAGAAAACGAAGATGATGAAAAATTGACTATAAAGTTCTGGATTTCAGAAATTTTGAGTATTTTTAGTTAGAAATGCAAGTCGATTAATTGGGAAAATTGCCAGGGCACCGCAGCGACGAAGGTGAAAATGGCTCAAAAGGAGGCACAAGGGGTTGCGGAGAAGAGGAAAGGAAGAAGAGGGCCTGGAAGTGTGATTGGTTCCAGTGCTGCTGGCTGTTTTTGTGCTTTCCTATCCATCTATGGGATTGGTGGTGAGGCATTTGCTCGCCTTTGGGAACTTGGATTTGTTGCCAGTTTCTGTACTAAACTAAGTGATACAGTCTCAAGTGAGATAGGGAAGGCATATGGCAAAACGACGTCAGTACTACTCATACTTCAATAGTTCCATCCCCCATTCTTTTGCAGAATTAACTCCATTCTTGATTCTTATAGTGATGCTCTTTGTTTCCCTTTTACTTGACCCCCGCAAAATGAAAGAACTACATCGTTTGATTACTACATTCTGTCATGAATAGTTATTGTTCTAGCCAGAGCTGGTGTTTTGATTTAGTTAACTCGAATGATATTATTGTCTTTGCAGTTACTTAGTCACAACATTCAAGATAGTTCCGAGGGGAACAGAAGGGGCAGTTAGCGTCGAGGGAACTCTCGCCGGACTTCTAGCCTCTATGCTTCTTGCTTCTATTGGTTGTCTAATGGGTGAGGTAGGATTTGCTCTCCCTCTCTTATCAAATTATTTTCAAGGATTGGTCACTTCATGTTTTCTTAGTTTCATAATTCTTTGTTTGCTTTTGTTTTAACGTTTATAACCTCTGTTGAACAGACATTTCAACTAGGGTCATATGTAAATGTCTGACGTTCATACGCTTTTCCATGATCATTTTTCCTTTTTATCAGAAATATTAAATTTTTTTAATTCAAAGTTATTAGTAAATAATAAATATGTACTCATATTTAAAAAATTTCAACAAGAAAAATTAATAACAGGTATAAAATTAATCCCTTGTGTGGGCTCCATTTTAATGTGATTTTTTGGAATAGTGATTTTTTGGAGAATTAAAAGATAAGAAAAGTTTTGAGTTTATATGTAATATTATTTTATAGAAAAATGAGTTTTGAAAAAATGCATTTTGAAAATAATAAAGCCCAAAGAGGGGCTAAATTTATATGAAGATTTTTAAAAAAATTTAATCAATGTGTCTTGTTAATATTTTTTTGAAAAATTGCATGTCGGTGCATCATAATTTATAACACAAACTAAAAATAAAACAATCGAATTGTGCAAGAATACAAAGGCGTCTGGGGCTAGATAAATGATTGAACCATTTAGAAGTGTGCCATTTGGATACAAGTAATAGACAAAAAGAGTGGGTTGCAGCGGGGTGGGGGTTTTCTTGATGCAGAATCATTATGAAATGAGACAATTTCCTTTTGTTGTGATAGATAATATATGTTTGGAACACATTTCAACTACAATTTTACATATGGCTAATCAAGAAACTACGCTTCGACAGATAAATGGACTCGAAGCCATCATATGCGTTGTTGCTTCCCAGATTGCTAACCTTGGTGAGAGTATTATAGGTGCTGCCCTCCAAGAGAAAGAAGGATTCCAATGGGTTAGTGATTACTCTAAACTACCCATTTTATGCATTCCTACAATTTTGTTTCTCAAGATGGATGCCATACTTCGGTTCGTGTGAGCGTAATCACTAGCACCTTTCATAGTTTAGCAAACGTCTCTTCCTTTCTCTCCTTGTGTATAAGCTTGCTTGCAAGTGAATTGAGCATGTCTAATTACTGTCTTAACTCGTGCTTTTAATATCCCTATTTCACCTTCCCAATCTCTTTTTTGATTTGCAGCTCAACAACGATGTTGTTAATATCATCAACATATCTATGGGAAGCATTTTAGCAGTCCTCATCCAGCAAATAGTTCTCCAAAGTTGGCATGCGTAGTTCACAAAATTAGTCTGCTAGCACAATTTCCTGGCTGCAAGTCCATGAAATCATGCTTTTCAATGCTGAAGAATCTATAAATATCAAAAAGGAAGAGCAAAGGATACAAATGTGCCCCTCACACTTAGATTCTCCGTTTGTCATACGAAAAACATTGCATGATTTGATGATTCGTTAACTCTCCTAGTGTAACATCAGATATGTTCCTCTGTTAATTCCATATCTTCAAACAGGACATTTACGTTAGTCTCAGAGTAAATTATCAATTTCCATCTTCATACCTTGTGTATTATATGTTTTCTTTTGTTTCTGCTTGAGAGCAGTGTGTCCCTAACAAACAACAAAGGGTGATATTTTCATTATATGATGATATTCTTCAGTACACTCTCCAGACGAGTTCAAAACAAATTGAAACAAACCTACATGCGAGAAAGACTATGGAAAACTAGCACAGTGAAACAAAACCTACATACAAGAGAAGTAAATGTTTCCCCACAGCTAACTGCTCAAACAAACCAAGCAAAATAAACAAGGGACCTTTAAAGCACGACCTGGATCCTAACCATTGAACGGGTAAAATGCTTGAAGCATGATTCAGAATTGCCTTCTCCGTTTTGAGGTAGTACCGTGCAACTGAGGATGGTGTTGGAAGTTTCGCAAGGGAGAGCTTATATCAGGCACAAATACAGCTGAATCAGATGTCTTCTGGTAGTTTTTAGACCAGTAAAGCCCTGATGATGTAGGTGGAGAAAGGATCTGTGGCACCGTAAAAAATGCATCTGGCGCCTGCTCGAAACGCTCATCACCATCCAATTCTCCAACTGCAGCTTGAAAACTTGAGAAGCGATCCAATCCTTGCTTCCCACTATCAGCCTGAAAGGATTGCCGAAACAGAAGACATAAATCAAGGTTGGTGAACATTAAATTCACAAAAAAAAAAAGTTTGCAACTAAGTATTTAATGCTTCAAAAATGGATTACATATAGACTATAGACTATTGTTCCACAGAAGGAAATACGCCAATAATCAGCAGTATATCAATAGTTCGTCACAGTTTTGGTGGTTCATTCTCCACTCTTGCTTCAGAACTCAAAGGCAATTTACCAGCTCCACAAAGGAATATACGCCTCTTGTCTGTTCCCCACGGCAGCCCCAACTGAAACTGACCAGTCTCAAATTTGAATGGTTGTGACTGATCTTGTCAGAAAGTCAAACTACTGTGTATTCAGCGGATAATATATCGAGGTCTTCCTATCACAGCACCAAGATTTAGCGCCCAAGCAAGCCTATACTAGAAAAAACCATTTAAAATTATCATCGATCAAAATCCTTAACCATTCCAGCTCCACCACTAACTCGCAGAAATGATACTTAAAAATCAAACCATATACATGAGCTAAATGATTTTTTCCGGGTTTCAACCTTGCCTCAAGCTGGAAATCAAGTTCATGGAATTTACAATGAGTAAATGCAGCTTCATATGAAATTCGACAGCTTGTGTGCAGGTGCATGGGCACAAAGCCACAGTTAAGGGTTGCTTTCATGTTTTCCCCCCTTTTGGTAGAGGAGCTGGAAGGATAGAGAGGATTCAACCCTCCTTGAAATTGTTGCACTGACATTTTTTTCTTTCTTTTTTCCTGGTGAGTTCGACCCCTTCTTTAGATAAAGAAATCCCTGATTTGTATATGCCCAAATGATAGAATAGAGAAAGACCCCTTACATTGTGTGTAATGTATCAATTAGTTTTTCGAACAGGGGATGGCTGCATGGACCAAAGCATTTGATTTTTAACCTATTCTTTGAGTTATGTCTAATGAGGATCGAATCCCCTTCATCGATGACTTGATTTATCTTTAAAAATTTCCAAATCTTAGTTAGGCGGGATAAATACAATCCTGAACTGAACATTAACCAAAAAAAAACCCTTGGGGTTTTATAGTCCCCACCCAGGACATGAACTTCGTGTTTACGGAATATTTGGAGAGAGAAAATCAAAGCCAGTGAAAATTAAAGAACAATCAACATATATTGACGGAATTTACGACTCACATCATACCTTGGATGAGCCATTATCCATGAAATTATAGTTCTGATTGAAATCTCCAAGAACAAGAAAATCATCTAACTGCCATTGGGAAACTCCAGTTGCTGAACCTCCAGCAGAAGGTAACTTCGATGATATAAAACCATCACCACCATTGGCTTGGAGAGGTAAAGCTTTGACATGTTGACCAGTCAATGACACAGGCGTGGTCCACTTCTGAAGTTGATGAGACTCTGTTTCTGAGGTTTTCTCATTACAGAGGGACTTCCCCAAGGATATAGATGGACCAGGTTCTGCAGCCTCAAGGCCTACTTTAACACCGGTAAGTAAAAACCTTTTGTGAGCAGACACCAAGGGGTTTACTGTGTGTATAGCAACATCACACTTCCTGCAAAGCAAAGCTCGATCCTCTAGGCAAAAGAAATAACCAAACGTTTCCTGCAAAAATGCAGGACAGAAATCAAATCCCCAATAGGGAAAATGACACTTATGGGTTCTGTCAAACAATATTACCATAAGAGAAAAAGTAGTCAAGCTCAAATTGAAAGTCCACATATCTGGTATCCAGTATGAAACAAAAAACTAAAAGAATCTTCCTTGGAAAACTAAATTTCCCGACCATGAAAACCTTTTGTAGTTAACCATATTTGAGATAATCAAACGCTTCAAGAGCTAAATGGTACAATGTCCAGGTAACTTGTTAGTGTAACTTTCATAGTATTTCAGCATATCTGACACAAGATAATGACATGAAAAAACAAATGCTTGGAAAATATAGTTTGATGCCTAAAGATATCTACATGTATTGTAAGATTGAAATGAGACCAAGATACTTAACGGCTTTGTGAAAACCATAACATGGGCCACATTATCAATCAGAAATTACCCTCTATAAAGCCCTAAGATAATACGCAGTTTGGTCAATTGCACCTTACCATGAAAGCATGTAGATGGAGGTGTAGCTTATTTGAAGCTTGAGTTTTCATGTGATCTGATGGCATAACATGGAAATTCTGATATTCAGCATGGACTAAAGAAAATACTTAATAATTCAAAGCCTACCTCACTAATTGACAAATGCTGATATAAAAGCAATAGATTCTCCTATTTGAAACCAGCGTTTACTACATGCACTGCATAGAATATCTGGGGCTAGTTACAGCATTTTGACTGGAACAGAGATTTTTAGTAGAAATGCAAAAACCTCACAAATGGCATCTTCTTGGCCTCCTTTACATGACTCAATTACAATGCATGAAGATTCTTGGTTCATGATAAAAGCTTTTCAAATTAAATCCTGTACTCCATCTGTGGCAGACATATGCTTGAGCCAAGCAGCAGGCTATGGTTCCATAGGAAAAGAGGTCACGAAAAAGGAAATTACCGCAGGACGGACATACAACCAGAAGGACATCAATCAGCTATAAATTCTAACTAGGCCAAGCCCAATCAATCACGTTAAAATTTTAAAGTACCTGAAGAATTCCAGCCAAAAGCCATGCACCAAGGAAAACCAGAATGACTTTAAATATGCACAATTTCTTGTACTCAGTAATTTATATCATAAGCTAGTATTAATCATTGTAATCAAAAGTTGTGCTTTTAACCTTCTGCAAAGCATCACGTACATATTATTTCTTGTATAAATAGAAGTCCACCGCGTCTCCAAATCATCTTCTTGTTTCAGATGATACTTCTCGAATGAATCCTCTCTTTAACTATGATGAATTCGTTGAGAGAACCAAGTGATGTAGATAGTCGAGAAATAAGGGGGGGAAATCCTACAAACCTCTGTTAAAGTCATAAAAAATACTTCTCTTTATTCTCCTTTTGTTTGAGAGACCAGAAACAACAAAAAACTAAATCTCATCCCCAATAAAACATTGGAGTCCCCTACACGAATCAAATTCATCATTCCACTCTATTTGTTGCTAGATCCATTGGGAGATCTAAAACAACTAGATCTTTAGCAACACCACAACCTAAGTTGATTTAGGTCTACCAATCCCTCTTTACAATTTGAAAAGCATGACCCAATCACATTAGCTTCCACTCTTCCTTCCCTTAATTTATTCTCGACCAAAGGAAGCGTTCTCATTTCTGATCTTATCCATCTGACTATCTAAGTATTCTCAATCAAATAAAGTGTTCTCATTACAAGATGCAAAGCATGACCTGATCATGTTAGCTTCCACTCTTCCTTCCCTTAATTTATTATCAATCAAAGAAAGTGTTCTCATTTCTAATCTTATCCATCTAAAGAAGTGTTCTGATTTCTAATCTTATCCATCTAAGTATGACTATACATCCATTTTAGCATCCTCATTTATGAAACATTTAATCTTATGAACATCTTGACCTTTAATGAAATCTTCTTATCATTTTACCTTAATGAAATCTTCTTCTCAGATACAATTCCACTAGCACTGGTTCATTTCATCTGCCCTGCTCTAATCCTATGTATTTCATCCTCTTCAGTCCATCCTTCCTTGCTCATAATTGGGCTTGGGTACCTAAAAGTCTTAAACAATCACTTTTAGAGCAATTCAATCCTCTGTGGTAACTCCATTATTATCCTTAGTTCTCCTGCTACTAATTATTAAATGACACTGAATTCCTTTAGATTTAGAAGTACCACTACTCCAAAATTATGACATGATCACGTGAACGAATAAAATAGGAATAAAAAAAACCAATATGCCTCACCTTGAATACATACTATAAGCTCAGTTCATTACTAGTGAACAAAAAGATAAAGATATAAGCAAAACCCTGCCTTTTGGCACGAAAAAAAAAAATAAAGTAAAATAAAAATCAAGACTCCGATGCAAAAAGCATTAAAATAATTCCAAGTTAAGACACAAAGATCACCATATACCCAAAATATAATATTGCGAATTTGAAAAAAGCCATATGACCAGGGTTGGAGACAGGGGGCCCAAATGGCACCCCCTATTGGAGACAGCCGTCCCTCCAATTGGGGGCCGCCATGTAGG